TCGTGACAGGCACAGCACTTTGTGAACCTCGACGCGCAGAGTTCGTGGCAGGTACAGCGCTTGGCGCACCTCGAAGTGCAGATTTCGTGGCAGGCGCAGTACTTTGTGAACCTCGAAATGCAGATTTTGGCGCAGGCGCAGCGCTTTGTGCTCTCAGACGTTCACTCTCGCTCTCACTCTCACCCACCTCACTCTCACTCACTCGCACACGCTCACACTCACACTCACTCTTCACTCACACTCACATTCACACTCACACTCACTCACGCTCACATTCACCCTCACACTCACTCTCACTCACGCTCGCACTCACACTCACACTCACACTCACTCACAAACTTTGAAACAGCAGACTCGTTAGGTGGGTCTTTCCACGACGCTTCTTGCAACTTCTCAAACAAGGCTTCCAATTGCTTTGCATGTGAGAGAAGTTGGGCGCTAAGCTCACCAGCATACTCAACCCCCTTGAGCTCCATCGACTTGCGCCCAGCTTTCACCATCTCATCGAGGAGAGCGTTCATTTTGTCACGCGCCAACCTAAGGATCGAAGCGGGCAAGCTCTCTATGAGAACCGTCGCCGCTTGTGGCTTGCAACACGGACAGAGTTTAATCATCAGAGACACGATCACAGAGTTTCACACTGATTTAGAAGAAGAGACATGAGACCCCTTTTTTGGAAAGACGACATGAGACCCCATCTTTCGAAAGACTTCCGTCGGATTTGGAAAGAGTGTTGTAAAAATTATGGATGAGTTTGTGAGATGTAGGTGGGATAAGAAACAGCGCAGTCATTGGGAGCCCCGGCTCTGCTGTCGTCTTTGGTACCACCACCTCACTTTCATTCACCTTCTCTTTTGGATTCTTTCTCTTCGCTTGCTTGGTGATGTTGCCACCATCCTCATCCAAGGCTTTGAGCAAAGCCTTCGAGCCAGCCTCCGTTGCAGCCTTGACGGCTGGCAGCGCGCCCGAAGGCAGGGCGCCATCATCCCCAACCGTGGCCTCAAACAGGGCACGGTCACATGATTCTGAAGCCTTGGCTGTCATGGATTCTTTGGTAGTGTCATCCTGCCGCACAAGCCTGCCCTCAGCCATGTAGTACCAGGTCTTGTCAGGGTCTGCCGGGAAGTCTGGGTCCTCATAATAGAGACCCTCATTGCGACGCTTCTCAAAGATTTGCTTGGCCTTTTAATCTCCATACTGTTTCTTGATGTCCTTCGCTTTCACAGCACGGAGCTGTTTCCTCGACAGGTTCTGTGACTCTTGTTGCCTCTCCACTGTGACAAGTGTCTCATCCCAGCTCCTGCCCGAGTCGAGCCACAAGTTGAAGAGCTCTGTTTTGTTCTTCTTGTACGCACCAATCAGCTGGGGAGGGAAGATAGTCTTGTTCTTCGCTTGGCGTGAGAACTTGTTCCAAACGGCTTTGTCTGTTGTTGAATCGCGGAGATGCTTTGCTTTTCTCTACTGATTATCACGAGCCCATTTGGGCTACGGTTGTAACGCGTCGATCCTCCTCCCCTGAATTTCAAGGGTTGCAATTTAGCTACCGCCCAGTCACAGGAGAAAATTTGTTTGAACACAGATTTCAATAGAAAACTATCCCCCTCTCAAGAGAAGCATATGTGGAGCTGCTGCCACTACCTTTTCACTTCCATTTTGGACTTGGTGTTTCCGTATAAGCAGAATCATATTTGTTGTATGTGCGCTGCGCCAATGTGGTCCCGCGTCTAGTGCCCCACAACCTCCAAGTTCACACTACTCAAAGTATTTTGAGTTTTGAGTAGTGCCTAATTGCATATGGTCAGTTTGGGCCCGATGCCTGTCCTGCCCCGCAGCAAAACCAATGTGTGTGTGCGTGTTGCTTGACATACACCGAACAAACACGTGTGATTGCACGACGGCGACGGCTGAGTGGAAACAGGTTAGGTGCAGTGTCCTTATTTTTGTTCGCTCCTCATTTTCTTTTCGAGTCTTGTAAACCTTCCTGCCCACAGCATTTAGCGCCAGTAAGTGCAGCACGCCAAAGTAGTTGTAGCGATGACAAACCAAACTACAATCAAAAACTGAAACAACACGTTGGCTTCTAGAGTCTATCTATTTGGTGTCATTACCAAAAACCAGGCTTCCCCAAAGCAGTGACACTGGCACTCAGCTGTCTTGGCAGTTCGAATTAGTGAAATTCAGGAGGTGGGGAAATGGTATAATGGAACTTTTAAGTTGGAATTCAGACTCCGGACTCCGGGTGCAAGTGTTGCAAGTTGTTTCCCACATTATCAGTTCCCCTGAAAATCAACCCTACTCCAAGCTTGCTCAGCCTTTCTCCTGAAAGTGCACTGCTGCGACTGCCACCACCTGGTTGAATTTGGTACAAAATCAAGGATGTTTCTAATTTCTATTCCTATTGTTTCAATGAAAAACACCCTAGGCATCCCTAGGCTGTTTAACTGTTGCCGTTGGCAGTTAGCAGCGGCAGTGCTCAGCTGTCAGCTGGTTGCTTGAATTAAAAGACGGGAACAGCTGAGCTGAGACGCGCAGCGACACCCACACAGAATTCAGTTCATGAGAATGACAACAGTGGTGGCACCACCAACAAGGAGCACGCTCTCAGACTCTCACACATATCCCCTGCCGCGCTGGCGATTACCTACTCCAAGCCTGCATGAACATTCTGCACCAGTAGCTGCATCAAGCCGTAAACCCTAAGACAAAGACAAACAATAGTAGTACAATATTATACAAAATATAGCAAATACATTTAATTATTTGCATACAATTGGCGTACAAAATCAAAAGTTCCTCAACAGCTTCCCCAAAGCAGAGGCACTGGTACTGGTGCTCAGCTGGTTGCAAATTGCAAATGCTCGGATTGAATTGTTTTGCGCTAACAAGTGCAGTAAGCAATGAATAAACAAGGTAACAAGATCACCCATCATCAACGGTAGTTGTTGAAACACAGACGTACTGTACAGTGTGACTGTCAAACAAAACAAAATCACGTAGTTGTTAGCTGCTTCCCTGTAAATAGAACAGGGCACCAAAAAATATTGCACGTTGGAAAACAGCGACCCAGGCATGGGCAGGCATTTTGCACTGGCACTGCGAACTGGTGATTGCCACTTCTAGCTACCGTACCAACATGTGCCTTTCAACAATAACCACTGCATTTGGAAGAACAAGTGCAGTGCACCACAAACCACACTCAGACTGAAACTAAGACCCGCCGACTCTGACCTGAGCCCTAGCCTTAGCCAGAGCATTCGTTTTGGATCTGGCCGTGGCTTTAGCTTTAGCTTTGCTTTTGGCAGCGGCCTTCACTCTTGCCGGGCAAGCCGATGGTCTTAATCGAATCTCAGGCTGCTCAGGCTGCTGCTCAGTGTCAGATTCAACCTCAA